CAGGAAATGTTGGAGACAGGTGGAAATAGAATCAGATGCCCTACAAGTGATTCAAGCGGCTCAATAGGAAGGAGACCAGTCGTATATGGGGCTGGCGGTGGAAGACATTAGACTTCTACTTAAGGAATAAGGAGAATGACAATTATACTTTGTCTTTTTGTCGGAGATCTGCAAATCGGGTTGCCCATGCTTTTGCTAGGTGTACTGTTTTAAGTCCAGATTGTAGGAGTATTCCAAATTCTTTACCTTTGAATGTACTAAGGCCAAGTGGCGAACGATTTACTTCTATGAATGAAAGTTTAGTTGATTATAAAAAATGTTATTACGTGGTACTCCCTCTGTGCCTTAAAACTTGACCAAGTTTAACCCACATGAGAAAAATTAAAGCAAAAACTGTGTGATTTGAGATCAATGCAGAGAAGAGAGAATAATTAGAACCACAAATTAATTGATTAAAATGGAAAATTACAAAGTTTTTGTGAAAACAAAAAAGAAATATGACAAAGCTATAAGATATATGTAGATATGTCTTTTTTGGGAAACCAATAAGTTTGTCATACTTATTACGTCCGCAAACCTTTATCATTCCATTCAAAGTTTTTTTGGGCAATTCTTTCTAACATATTATAGTATATGTTCTTTGTTAAGGCCAACAACCTTGAACTGTACCTGTGACATCCTCCTTGAGAGTGTCATAATGATGTCATCAGACCACAAAGTACTTAACTTCCATTCAAAATTATACTCCAAATATAGATACCTAACTAAAGTTATTTCACAAATATGAGGAATACAACTCTTACCTTTGTATTCCACATACAAATCATTTCTAACCATGTTTCCTAAGACGGCTGGATGGGTATGCTTTACTCCATACATAAATGCCATTAATAGCAATTTTTCACTTTATAGCCATCCCATTGATCCAAAATGGTGGATTCTCTCACCCAAGAGCCCCAACCCCAACCCGACTGGATGGTGGGGAGTTTAATCACGATGACTCAGTCAGCAAAGTGACAGTAGACCCATACACCCGTGTGCACCAGAGGCCCAGCCTTATTTCAGGTTCTATGACCTCCACCCGGTCGCTGCGGGGATTCGAACCTTGTCCATCTATTGATCCCAATCCCCCACCACTCGACCAACTGAGCTACCTGTACGGGTACTTTATAGCCATTCCATACACTACATATACGACATAACAAGTTATAGAAATTGTTGATTACAAACATTTTAAAATTGCAAAATAGGATTTTCATGTTTTTATTCCGTAAATAAGAGTAATTTCTGCTAAGTTTGAAACTTTTACCAAGTTTTTTTCAAACTTGACATAAATTACTCTTATTTAGAAAATAAAAATATGACAATCCTATTTTGTCATCGATCAATCCCTAACCATAATTTCCTCATTATGCTATTATTTTATATCGTCACAACGTTTTGTGTATTCACGCAAGAGTAAAATGAAGGATATAATTTGTTGTTACCAACACGTTTGCTCTGAAATATTCCGATTTGGGAGATTGTGAATGGGAGGAAGTGGAGAATTTTGTAAGCCTTCCACTTTCACGCCTACCGGGCTACCGGCTACCCCTATTTCCTTTAACCAAACACATACAAACCATTCAATTCCCTTCCCTCCCCTCCAGGGGCGGAACTAGGGGGGAGCGAGCCGGTGCCGGCGCCACCCCTTCGCCGGAGTTTTTTTAGGAGTAGTATTAGGTTTATCGGCCGGCGCCCCTTCATCTTCTTCCCATAGAGCTTCCATGCGCCCCTGCCGCTGCTATGGCGAGATTCAGCGAAGCAGAAGACCTAAGAAAGGATGGTGCACCTGTTTTTTTTAATTTAATCAATAAACCAAACGACGTCGTTTGGTTAAGTGCACAGAAACAATTGAAACGACGTCGTTTTCTCCACAGTTCTGAATTTATCCAATTCGCGTTTCTCTTGGCCTTTTCGTTTCCCTAATTCGCGTTCCACAAGGCCCGTTTCACTTGGGCCGTTCCAGTCTTGAGAGCTGAATACATTGGGAAGAATTTCCGCCTTCGTCCTGACTCCAGAGTTCCGCAAACCGGCAGACCGCAGACGGCAGACGGCCTCCGTGGCTCGTTGCAGACTTCCAGTTTGAGACTTGGAACTTCCGCCTTGGTTCACAGGTTCGCAAACGGCAGTTAACTTTTAGAGTTTTTTACTCCAGGTTGAAACTTGGAACATCGGCCTCGTGTTTCTCCAGACATCCGAAGTAAGGCCAATTTCTTGGGCTAGTTTGGTAAGTAATTTTATAATTGAAATATGTTTTAATTACTTTTATTGGTTATATGCTTTAATTAATTATTTAATTTGAAATTGGATTGATTAATTGCTTTATGGTTTGATTTATTTGCAAGCGTATAAGCTTATTGATTCATCAATTTAATTTCTTTTTTAGTGTAATTGATTAATTGCTTGAATTGGTATAACCGTATAAAGTTGAAATTGATTGTGCAATTTTTTTTATTAATAAGTTTGGTTGGTTTAGATGTTTTAAATTTTAATTCATTATAAATATTTAAGAATTTGAAATTGGGAACTTTTTTGACTTGTTAGGTTACTCATGCCATCATGTTTTTAACTATATAATGTACTCTTCTTACAAATTTCGTTCCGGTTCCGCCACCCCTTTGATTTCGTTCTGGTTCCGCCACTGCTCCCCTCCCCTCCCCTCCAAAACCCTCCAACCAAACCGGGCTACTCCGTAAGACGGAGTTAACCAACATTTCTTAAATGCTACGGAGTACTCCGTAATAATCTCAAACTCAAATTAAAACGGAATGATTAGAGAGACAATAATAGGCCAACAGTGTGATGGAAAAGAACAGCATATAATTGCTGTGTATATGACATTTAGAGAACATCTGCTTCCATTAAAAAGAAAGCACAATCCATTATAGCATTTTTGACAACGTCAAAGAGCCTCATATTTGCTGTCGGGTAGTCATTTGATTCCCCTTATCCCACAGGAGAATCAAAACGTATCCCTTGGTTGATTCACCAATACCCCCCCCCCCCCCCCCCCACCATAAAAAAGAGAGCAAATTTCCCTCATATCTTACTCACCCCTTTATCCTCTTTCAAAACATATCTTCCCACCCTATTTAACAAAAAATCTTCCCACCCTATCTTTTAAGGGGAAAATATGTTGCAAGGAAAAGTTTTGGACACTCTAAATCTTGATAAATTAAATGTTAAAAAAAATTAAAAAGTTTTTTCTAAAATATTAGAAAAATAAATCTTATACACAAAAAATTTGACTTAAGTGATTATAAGTTTCTTTTATAGTCACTGTGATGTAAAATTTAACCATAGTTTGAGTTAGTAAAAATTAATGTCACGCCTTCTCTTCACTATTCCTGTTTTGATTATGTATTAGGTATTATTTCATTAACTTCATGATATACAATACTGGGCATCAAACTTCATGATTTAAAATGAGTCAAAGCCTCCTAAAGTATTACAAGCATTCATGTAATTACCATTTAATGAAAAATTTATGTGTTGGAAAACTATATATTTTTATTGTTATTATTAAACATGAAAATAAATTTATCTAAATATTGATGCTTCTGTCCCGCTAAGATTGTCCATCTTTTCTTTTGATAAGATTGTCTCATATTAAATTTGATAAAATTTATATGTATCTAAATCATTCTTACTTTGTCAATTCAGTATCAATTATAAAAATTTATTTTTCTTAATAACGACATCACTTCTTATATCACAATGTTAAACTTATTTTTCTTAATATCTGCATCACCTCTATATGACAATATAAGTGAGACAGAGGTAGTACTAATGGACTTTGCACCCTTTGAATTATGTGAAAAATAAGAATAATAAAAATTATGTGATTGAAATTTGTGCAAAAGAGAGAGAATTGAACAGAATAACAAAACACTTACTGTAATAAAAAAAAATGATAAAAATTTTGAAACTAAAACGGAAAAATTGATAAAGTCCAATGGAGTGGAGTACCTTAGGCATCCCCATCCATGAGTTTATTTGAAGATTAATGAGATGATGTGTAAGATTATTTTAAAGATTATCATTGTTGGTGAGAGATTATTTAGTGAGATTATTGAAAAAAAATCTGGTATCAAGATTTCAATCCCGGATTATTTTATATTGTAGTTAAATTACATTTAATGCATGGCAGGAAAAAACTGATTATTTGAGTATTATTGTTGATGAAGAATTTTAAACTTTGAGATTATTTTAAATTCATTAAATAAGTGTGATGTAGCAATGATGTGTAATAAAAAAATCGTTTATTTAGGAAGCATGAATGGAGATGCTCTTATGATTATAATCCTTTCAATCAACTCACTTTCCTTTGATGGATCTTTATGTCGGGGCAACCGGAAAGAGACATTTGAAGGAGGTGATGTGTTGGAATCCTAGTGGAACAAACTATGCACACTTTCACAAGAGTCATTTGTCCGCTTATCTATGCACTCACTTTCACAAAATGCACTTTGTGGCCCTCCTTATCAAATATTGTACCACTGGACAAAGCCGAAATAGACCAGAAAAGAAAAGAGAAACGTTCTCGCAAAAGAGAGAGAGAAACGTGAAAAAACACGTTTTCCCCCAAAAAAAATCACCACTTTGGAAGCGGAGAAATGCTTAGTAAAAGAGTGGAAAATTAGTACCGTTCACTTCCACTCTCAGCTCTCAAGGCAAAAAAAAGGGGAGGGAAATTGGTTACTTCCAATGTTTCTTTAATTTATCTTTTTACTGTACTTTTATCTATCCACACACTAATTCAAATTATATACTCCGTACTTTATGTTTCCATCCTATTTCTATCTAACCAAACAAACTGCTTCTGATATTAACCAATTCCAATTTCAGGACGAAATAATTACTTCCACAATTTTGATATATACCTTAAATACACATCTTCATACTTGAAAGTTGAAACATTAGAATCAGCTCCAATGAGCTAAAACACCCTAAATTATATTTTTGAAAGAGAAAAAACTAAATGGCCACAAGGCCCATAAGAGAGCACGACAAACATGATCATAGAATGAGGTATTTTAAAACATGATTTTAAGTTGTACACATGTCAAAAAGTATTAGATGACAAAACTATCATTGTCTTGCATCTCAGACTACACATAATAAGACATCTACAAGAATACACGAATAAATTTGTAGCAACACAACTTTTTTTTTTTTAGTTTCATTCTTCTGCATCTTCAGAAATACCTTCCAGCAGCAAGTACTGAAGAGATACTGAATATTTCGCTGTTTTTGATCCACTTGATTTGTCAACGCCAAATTTGCAGCTCCTCCTAAGGAAAAATGACCCAAATCCATCCCCTGATAAAGAAATAAAGAATTCTGTAGCAGATTCTGTAATACAATAAAGCCAGCTTTGGATATACGAGAGAGGTTTGGAGAGCTGAGCATATATCTAAATATAAGTTTGATACGGGGTATTTTATAAAAGTCAGAAGAAATGACATGATAGGTCATTCTTCATCATGTAATGTTTCAATCACCATTTATTCAATTTAAGAAACATTGCATTTAACAATAAAAAAAGAAACTTTATATTTATTAAAAAAACTACCCCCATTTAAAATGAGTTCTCAGAATTATTATCTTGCCGTCAATCCAGTTCTCTTTTATAAATTCAATGTACCAAATTCTTGTCATATTCAAATTCACTTTTTGCAGTTCAGTAGAACTTTTAGTTTATATTCTTAATATGTAACCTTTAATTACTAACAACAGTTTATATGCTAACTTGCTAAGATTGCTAACTGGGAAGAATTAGTTTTATGATCAGTCAAACATTTTAATATGGAGAGAGTGCCAGAGTATATACCATGTCTTCCAAAGTCTTCTTCTCTAAGAGAGTAAGAGACTCACAACCCCTTCATACAACCATTTCCGGTAAGGAAGATTCTTTAGAATTTTGGAGGTTCTTGGAGGGGAGGGCTAGTTTATAACTTTATAAATAGAGTAAGACCTTACGTACAGTCTAAGCCCTAAAATCTTCCCCTGCAAAACCCTTCCATCCAAACAAAGCCTAATAAAAAGCTACATTTGGATCCTATGAAGTAACTCCACAATAGAGTTACTCCAAGGACAGGATCCAACCCAGATAACGCCCTCACACATAAGATCCAACCCAGGCAACGCCCTCACACTTAGCTTTCCCTTACTCCATTGTGTGTGACTCACACACAATGGAGTGAGGGAAAGCTAAAAGAAAATATGACAAACATTATGGATAGCCAACCACTTGAGCCTACCTCTAATAGTGTAAATGGAGGAGACCCATCTCTTATATATGTAAAGCAACCTTGGATTGTCACCATGATGAGTATCAGAGAGAAGAAGTCGGCACTGTCCTGATTCTCTGTTTCTCATATCCAAACATAAACCCATCAAAGGAGGACAATTTCAAACTGGCATCATAAAATAAATGGAGCAGTTTGCTAACTTGGCTGAATCAATGGCATTTCGACACACCGCCAAAGTTCGAACCATTGCCAAATCCTTTCCTCTAGCGTTATTGTACCTTTGTTGGCAATTTCTGAAGAGGGCAAATAAAAATTCTGATTTTAAGTTGGGTGACCCAACAAAAAAACTTATGGAGGGGAGGGTGAATAGAGGATGACCCAATAAAATCACTATTTTGATTTTTGAAAACAGAAAATGCTAGGGTATGAAAACATGGAGGAAAATAGAGGAGAATTCATAAGGAAAGAAAATGTGGGGGCGACGTGGTTCAAAATATCAAATTCAATAAATCAATTTTAGATATTTGTTCAAACATTTAATATATATTTCTACTGTATAAGACTGAAGAATCTAAATATATTTAAAAAAAACCAATCTCAATTACTTGGCATTTTCCAAGGTATAAGTTTATAACCAAACATTAAAAATAATTTTCTTTCATTTTTCCTCCGGACATAGCCTTTGACTATTGCCTATTGGAAGAATATGAAAAAAGAAAGGACGCATTTGGAAATTGGGAAATACTAGGGGAAGAAAATAGGTGGGAAACAAAATAAATATTGGAAGGAAGGTAGGTAACTTACAGGAGCATTAAAGATTGTCTCAAAATCAATATATTTGTAATTTGTTCGATATCAATTTATTGATCTATTTGTATAATAATACACTCCATAAAGACTAAGGAATCCAAATATATGTGAAAAAGAATTAAAACTGATCAATTTCCACTTTCATTTGCATTCAAAGATAAAACCAAACATAAAATTAACGTTCCTTAGTAGTGGTTTTCCTTACTATAGGTCTATAACATTTTCAGGATCCAAACATATCCCAAGAAATGACAGAGATTGATTACATTGCATTGTTGCTTTTTCAATAATAATGTAAAAACGGCGTGGTTGAGATTTATGCACAAAAAAAGAGAAATAACCTAAGCCATATCCTTAATACTAAATGGAAATGAAAGTTTTATGAGGCTAAATAAGGGAATTTGTCAAAGTTCTAAGAAGTAACTTATTAAGTTGACAGGTTAAAGAAAACAACACCTATCATCAAAGAAATCAGCAAAATCATCAATAATAACTGAAACAGGGATTTCATCGTGAACATGAAATGCAGCGAAGTATTTCTTAATCCCTTCTTCATTATCTATATACCTACGAGAAGATCAATTCAGAACACTCATCAGTCTATATCTGTAGTTTAAGTGTTTCTGTAAAATTAAATGAATAAAGTCCTTACTTCATGTGAATACGCTGAAAAATATCGGAAGAAGGTTCGACGCCCTGAGAGAGAAATGGGGGTTTTGCTTCTAACTTCTGACGGTTGGAAATGAACACAACGGCGGAGCCGCTCCCCATGGCGGCGTTCAATGCATATTGGAACAGCAAAGAGGTTTTTCCTCTGCGTAAAATAAAGTCAGATTTGAGATCGAAGCTCAAGCTATGTTGCAGACAGGGGTGAGACAGGTAATATCTTTGGACAGAAACAATAAGAAATTGGACGGTACGAGGAAGGAGGGCCGGAAAGAAGAATGACAGAGTCGCTGCGGTCCCGGCAGCTCCTATTGTTATCTGGATTAGGGAGGTGGAAGAATCTTTCCACCATCTTCCCTGCACTCACTGTGCCAATGGCTTTTACATACCAAATTACCAATGTCCAATTCACAATTCAGGACCGTTTACCAACCCTTAGATAGGTGAATTACTACTTTTTTTAATGGTCAGATGACTTAAATTGCTATTACATTCAGACAAGCGGTGAAACATGCATAGAGTCAATCGTGGCCCCGAACCAGACATAGAGTCAATCACTTTCAAAAAAGCAATATAACGGGCATAAATGAGCCAACCACAGTTAAAGCAGACCTCCCATCACCCAATCCTAATGCAAGAGTCTTACACCAATAAAAATAATCAATAGAAAATAAACAGACTGATCATAAAAAATAAAAATCAAGCAAACAGTAAAATTATAAAACTGCTTCCAAACCCTAACTTCTCCGGCACTCCATGGCGGCAGTTCAGGAGGGGGACGATCCAACAATACTATAGCTTCTTCCGCTCCTTGCCTCCAGTCCAGATCTGTTCCAACACCTAGCCCCACGCTTCGTCCATGCCCTTTTGATCTCAACCATGAATGACATCCTCGAAACTCTCCACCTGCTGCTAAGGGTACACAACCTTTGGCCGCCATATAGGCGCTGTAGTCTGCCGAATAAGAGAGCCTCACAAAAGGCGGACGAAAGCCGCACTTCGTCAATGACGAAAACGGAGAAAACAACCCCTAAGCCTAGGGGAGACGACCACTGCTTCCTTTGCCTATGCTGCCGAAACTTCGATCAACACTCCAAACCCCACGGCGTCAAAAGCTACTCGCAATCCGCGAGAACCCTAGGTGAATTACTAAAAAAGTTATTTCTTAATCTAGATGTTTAAAGCGTCGTTTACTAAATATATCACTTTTAGGTATTAGTTAAGCAGTAGTTAAATCTTTTCCAGTTTCCGCATTTAACCTTTCCCTTACCCGTGCCATTACTTTTTAATGTTACCACTACCCCTAACCCTTCCTCTACCCTATTCCTGCCTACCCCGCACCTACCGTACCTAGACCCCACCTACCCCCTACCCTACCAATCACCCGACCATACCCCTACCCCGAGCCCTGTACTCGTACAGTCGTACCCCAAACTCCCTACACCTTCCCCTACCTGTACGATGTGTACCCTTAGCCTCACCACATACCCTACCCCTAACCCCCACTCTACTCTACCATATCCCTATCCGTACTCGTACCACTAAGGATGTTTTTACTTGGACTGTAATTTGCCCCAGACCAGACCAGACCAGACCAGACTTGGATAGTTATAAAAATACAAAGAAACCAGACCTTACCAGATCAGACCAGTTCAGACCAGACCAGACCAGATCAGAACAGATCAGACCAGACCAGCAAATTACAGTCCAAGTAAAAACATCCAAACCTTTTACCTCAACCCCTAGCCCCTTACAACCATCCCTACACGTCCCTCGTTACCCCTATCCCATGCCCCTGACCCGTGTCCCTTACTCCCTACCCCTTGCTCAATCACTCAAGTAAGACGATCATCATTTAAAAATGCCTCCTTAATTCATTGTTGACTTAATTCAGAACCTTTCAAATAATTAGGATGTTAAGTATGAGAAATGATCTATTATAACCATTCTTGTCCTCTAACGGACGTTAAATACTTTCATTAATGCAAAGATGTCTTATACAAGTTATACACGTAAGTATTTTCTCATACAATGAACAATACATCTAAAGACGTGAGTCACCTAAAAAATCTCATATTTGGACACATGCCAAGAAGGTTCAGGAGGGAGATATAAGTAAAAAATGCATTTATTCAATTTTAGAGGGAGGACTTGAAATATGTAGTAGAATGAAGAAGATGGAGACTAGATTTATGTGATAGAGATATTAATAATAAGCTTTAAATTATTTCTTCATAATGTTGAAAATTTATGAGTGAATTTATAAGGTTTTATCAAACTCCTATTTATAGTGGTTGAGCTTGATTATTAGTCATAAAAAGGATGAATCTACGGATTTGGTGGCAATATGGACGAACGACCAAGCCCAATGGGTCTCTGTGGGTAGAGACAAACGTCTCCACAGCCCGTAGCAGTTACGCCTCCAAGCACAAGGCAGATAAGATGAACGTCGCCACACCTTGTCTTGGGCCACAGGAGGTAAAGCCCAAGGCTAACCAACGGACTTTTACATAATTAAGGGCCAGAAGACGTATGGCCTGCAACCCTTTGCAGATATTACCAAGGACAATTCCAGGTTCAAGAGGACGCTCGTCTCCATGAATAGGCGGGAAACTAAGATCTTGGCGGGAAGCGCATTTAATGCTGGGGATTTGGTGGTTGGGGCTTCATCCATCCACAGTTCTCCACATCAGCATATTCAACTGCCCCTTGGTAGTATAAATAGTACTCCCTCCGTCCCCCTTGGTAGTATAAATAGTACTCCTTCCGTCCCCCTAAGTTTGTCCCGTTTTACCTTTTTCGTTCGTCCCATTAAGTTTGTCCCATACCATATTTGGTTTTATTTGGGTGGTTACAATTCGTTATTACTTTATTCAGACTTTATCAATTCAATACCAACCACACAATTTCACCTTTTCTTAAAAGTTGTGCCACATCCCTTTGTCCCAAACATAGTGGGACGGAGGTAGTAGCATTTATTTCATTGTAAAGGGTTGACAACTTACCCGCCTTAGCGTTCTAGCATTCATTCAGCTCTTAGCTTATTCTCGCAGCTCTTCTACTCGAGTGTGAGACGTACGGCCGTTGGCCTTAGCATAGTGCAGTTTAACGGGGAGTTATTAGATCTTAATAATACTCGGCTCACTATTGCATACATTTCTGGGCCTACGAGTTGAAGGAATAAACCTCGACAATTTGCTAACTAAATTATCATTTAAGAATACTAATTATTTCCTAAAATAGAAATTACAACATTTAACTGAGGTGCTCAAAAAAAAGAAATGAGAATTTTAAGTTGGGACGGAGAGATATATGTTAACTAGTTCAACACACTATTATTTTCTAGTAAGAAAGAAAATAATGTAAGCCAAATTTTTCAAAAAAGAAAAAAAGAAATTTGTATTACGAAGTACGAAATACTATTCTTATTTCATCAATTCAGTAACACTCACATAAATCCAGCCTCCTATGTAATCCGCTTTCTCTTTCTCTCCGTGTTGTCCATATTAATAAATCAGGGTGTGACTAGGGATGGACTGGGTCTGGGGGGTTCGACCCGGGACCGGCACTGTTTGGACCTGCCCAGTACCCGGTGCAACGTAGAAATGGGACAGGCTCGAGCCTGATATTTTGGGACCAAACCGGTCGGGCCCAGTTCCGGTCCCAACCGATATATTTTTAAAATTTGTTTTCTTTTTAATTAGAGAGTGGGTACCAGCCCGAGACTGGTATTGTTTGGACCCGGACCGGAACCGGTACCAGACCAAACCGGCAGTATCAGGCTTCAATTATTTAGAATCGGGACTGACCCAGACCAACCCCGCTCCAAGCCTAGGTGCGACACCCCCAACATAGGTGTCATCCTCTTACTTTAGGACCCCTAAATTTGTGAGTTGTAGCAAATTTAAGGTAAAAAGTTTAGAAATGTTCTTTTCATCTCATGGATTGCAATCAGTTTGCAACCAGTCTTAAGATACTTGTGTGTACTTAAATTGCCATATTTTTCGTTTATTAAAGCTTTAACTACTATATTCATTTCCGGTGGAAAATATTTTGAGTTTTTCACAAAATAAAGATGAAAAAAATAATATTTATGTAAAATAGAGTCGGGTTAAATGTATTTACGAATATACTGCTAGGTATACCATGATTAGGGAAAGCCGCCAAACGGAATGACGACTTATAAATTGCAAAACTCCATGTCCACTTATAAGTCGTCAATTTGAATGGCGACTATGCCATTGCTTCTACAAAGCAGCACAACAACGCACCGGGCAACCCAACACTCTAATACTATACACAATCCAATCAAATGGACTCCAGCAGAAACATACCAACAACACCTATAGTAACAAGGTCACAAATCCATCAAACATGTTTACAAATAAGAAAACATAACCGAGCCATAGTGAATGGTATGCAACAACTCAAATGCTCATATGATTAAGTAATTAATAACATGATATCCAACAGTTTGCAGGTGAACATACATAAATAACTCAAATGCTCATATGATTAAGTAATTAATAACATGATATCCAATAGTTTGCAGGTGAACATACATAAATAAATAACTCGGGCTAGCTACTCACCATTATCGGGCTAGCTACTCACCATTATCGGCCTAGTTTGGTTGATCTGCACTTGATGGCAAGTGTGCTACTATAGTAATTCATGTTCTGTATTTAATTTTTTCTTATCGTTTCAAAATAATTATAATTCATGTTCCACTTTTAGACATGGGCTTTGCAGCGTATTCATGAGCGAACGACTGATACAGTGAGCCACAGGCTTGGACACATATGATCAATCTTGCGAAACACCTTGCTTATTTAGTATAAATTTATCAAGTTTCACACAAATATATTAGTTAAAATAATATATCAAAGTTTAAATAAAAAGGGATGTAGTCATGTAGGTAGTATTTATTTATGTATGCTGACTTTTTTAGTAATTTTATCAATCTTGCAAAACACCTTGCTTATTTATATATGTCCACTATGTGGTAAAAACCGGACCGGAGAGTGACCCGGACGAATGGTCGGGTCACGGGTCAACCCAGACCCGGCGGGTCAACCCAGTCAACAACCGGTAAACCCGGTCAACACCGATATATATATATATATATATATATATATATATATATATATATATATAATTAGTTATATAAAAGATGTAAATTCATAAATAGAAAAATTATTATATTTAATAATGATAATACTGAGCAATGTCAAACGAGCCTATTGGATGGATATTTTTGGAATTCCTTCGTTAAAGTTGTAATTTTTTCGTTTTTGGGTAAAGTTCAGTCCCCCCAGCTTTATACCCCGCTAATTTTGGTGGTTTGCCTTCCGGGATAAAAAAACACTGAGCAATGTCAAAAAAATTGGACTAAAGTTTATTGACTAACAAAATTTAAAATGCATTTGAATTTAGATAGATAATAAAAATGA